GAATGCCTATAGGGAATTGGCCAAGCTAGAGGCAGAGACTGAGTATGAGATATAAGCACTAGGCTAGTAAATTGTTTCAGAACCCATATAGCAAACAGCTGGGTTCTGAACAACGTTTTGTCACTGACCTAGTTAATCTCTCTAATGTAGCAGATGAAACATATGCAATGCCCTGGTTGCTTTAATAGCCACAAGTAGAGCCAGCCTTTTAATCATTCACAATATGTACAATGTCCAGTGAATCCTAGTGCCAACCTGGGTCCTCAGTTCAGTAGTGGCTCTGAGAGAAAGTCACCTGTGAAACCATCAATCCCATTTTCTTAGAGATTTCCTATCCAAGAACTAACCAAGCAAAACTCTGCTTAGTTTAGCAGCACTAATGAGCTCTCAAGCCAAGGCAGATATGGGTGAGACACAAAACAAATCTCTTCTTGCTTTGGTCTCAGTGTCTGCCTGAATTAAGTCTCACAATATGGGGGCATCACTTATCCCTCCCACACCATAGATCCTAGGATACTACCTCTTTTCTCTCTCTGGGCACTTTGACTGCCCTGCCTCCTCCCAGATTAACACACAGTTGAAGTTAGCAATCTTGCATGGAGTAGCAATTGGAAGGGGCCCTGATTAGTGATTTGTCCTCAGAAATGGATTAGGAAATCAATCGGCTTAGGTAGCGGGAATCTTAATTTCATTTGCATATGTGGCTAGGCAGGAAGTTGAGATGAGCTCATTCTTTTCAACTTTTCTCTGAAGAATGCAGCATTTTTTTTTATGAAAGAAAAAAGGGAAATAAATTCCACAGACTACAGGCAACAAAGAAATTGTAAATTGATGGGGAAGTGTAGATGAGCAGAAATGAGTTGGAGTTCTGGCACATGGGGTGGGCATGATATGATTGCTTGACATATGTAGCAGATAGAATTTTGAGAAGGCCTCAGCCTTTAACAATGAAAACCTGATTTTTCAAGGTAGACTGTACATGTTAAAGTTTTTTTGGAAGATCTGGCCCCATTTGGATTCATGTTTAGATCACACTGTAAATTAGAAAAGGAGTCATTTATTAAAACTTTTCTACAGTCATTGAAACAGGTGGCCATAAAAGAAAAGCCAACTTGAATTTCAAAATGAAAAATAGAAGTTGCATGGAGAAGAGGATAATTTTATTAACAGTTTACATTTATCCAGAGAAATGCCTCTTATAATTTCATCTTATTGTAAAAGCTAAAAAGAATAGTTAATGAATGGCTAAGACCTTCTTCAATCGGATCTGAGAATAAGCAGCCTTACTCCAATCAGTGGTGAGTGGCATCAATATTCTTCCAATTTGACTTGTATGTCATTAGCTCTCCTCCAGTCAGATCTCTGAATGAGCAGCACACCTTCAGTTGCATACGGGTAACATCGGTATTCTTCCAGTTGTTTATGCAAGTGAATAGTTCTCCTACTGGATTTGTAAAGGAGCAACATTCCCCCAAGCAGATCAGCAAGGGAATAGTAATCTTCTAATTGACCAGGTGAGCCATGTTCTTGCTTCTAGATTTCCATATAAGCATCCTACAATGGGATCTAAGAAAGTGGCATTTTCTGCACAATTACATTTGTGTAGTAAAAAAAAAAATGTTTTAATCCTACACTCTTATTGATAGCAAGCTGAACCTCACAAAATGAACTGCTGATCACACACAACTACGTATGTTTAGATACCCTCATCCATTAACCTAACATTAATGTGGAGAAGCAAGTGTCCTTCAGCTCATGTAGGGCACAGACAGAAGTGACAATTTTTGCCTGATTGGGCCCCAGAAATTGGTCTACAGCCATGACCAAACACAAGTGCATGGCTGCAAACCACTTTAAAAGGGCCCAATCCCATGAAAATCTGAACTCTAATTGAATGAGGTTCAAATGAACACATTCCAAAATGGAGTGCGTTCTGTAACTTGTGTCTACAGAGCTCCCAGCCTGTCACTGTTGTCAGAATGGGAGGGGGAAAAGGGAGTAGAGGGAGTTTGGCCTGCGGTTCTTTTCAGTCAGTGCTGGAGAGTGGGGTGGGTGGATTGGAGCCCCCCCCACCCCAACCCCTCATCTCGGGGGGGGGGAAGGGGGAACACTCCAATCCATCCATGCCACCCTCCAGCACCAGCTGGGGAGCCCCAAGAATGAGCTCCCTCTGCTCCCTTTCCCCCCTCCCAATCTGAAAACAGTGTCTGGGCTAGGAGTGGGGAGTGGCATTGCTAGGGAGACCAGGCTGCAGGCCAATAGCAAGCAGGTGGAATCCCCAAGTCCTGGACCCACCCGCAAACTTCTGTTGGGTCCAGGGGATCATTGCAACTCACAGCACTTCTTGCAAAACACTGTGAGTTGCAATGGGGAGCTGCTCTTCTGTCTGCCCCCATGACCTAGAGCGTCTTCCTTTATAAGTCAGATATGGAAACAAACTATTCATAAATAATGCTGCCTCCTCCAGGACAATGATCTAAACCCGTGTCTCCCATATTCCAAATGAATGCCTCATTCACTGGAATCATTCTCTTTCCATCTCTGGTTTTGCTTGTGACGGAAATTTGGTTGGTAACATTTTGTGACTCCAGGATGGAATTTCTGCTCAATGTCCTTCCATTAAACTTTTCAGTTTTGAACAAATGTATCTTTTGATTAAAAAGATTTAATCAAAAAGACCTCTTTTGGCAGCTCCAGTTCCATGCCCTGCTGCATACCTTTTGATGTGAGATGTTTCTTTATGATTAACTCAATCTTTATGTCATTAATTTCATTTCACTGTATCATTAAATGTCACTGTCCAATTAGCACATTCCAAAAACTGTACCAGAATTGGGTCTAATTGCTCAGAAGAAACCCACTGAACTTCAACAACCTTCCACTCTGTAAATATGTTGCTAGTGAGTATTTAACTACTCAGGAAGAATAATCTCTACAAAGCAACAGTAAGGATTTCTTTTCTCCCCCTCAATTTTAAAGAAATTTAAAGAAATTTATCTATTTTCTTGTCATTGGGGTAAACACTTCAGAAGTCTGGAGGGTCAGAACCAAATTATCTCCAGTGTCAGATCGGTTTCACACCATTTACTATGAAGGAAGCCATTCTAAACTTGAGGTGTACACAGTGGAAAATGGTTCACAGTGACTTCAATGGGAACTGAACTGAGAACAAGGTGAACATGTAGGTCTTGGTGTTATTTGTAACTTTGAATCCTTTGGAACATCACAGGCCTGAACATTATTTAACTCAGGATCAAAACATATGGGACGAACTGGTCAGAAATTTTCAAATGGATTGATTTTGTAGTGGAAAATATAGATTCCTCAAAAGGTTCCATGGGAAGATGATGATTTCTATGAAATTTTCAAAGAAACCATGTAGGGCTTATGCCATTTGCCCACATCCCTTGCTGCTTGGCATTTCAAATTTCCAAGTCCAGGTACCAGGATCAAGGGTAGCCTGCCACAAATTGCCACTTCCAGGCCCTCCAAGAGCCCAGAAGTCTTGCATTCCCTTTCTCCTAGGCTTCTCAGCAGCTGGACTGGTGCATTGCCATGACACAAAGGAATATAGGCCACCCAGGAGTCCAGATAGTACATGCTGTTTGAGCAATGTCAAAACATTCCCATTGCAGGGAATATTTTGATGTTCCTGAAATGAAATGAAATGAAGTTGAATCCAATATTTATAAGAACATTTATCTTGACTTGAGGACATTTTTTTCCTTTGCAGAAATGAAGGAGATGGACACTGAGGATCGGGTTCTTGTACTTCATTGCTCTGAAATGTCCCTTGCTGCTAGCAGATGTTTGCCCTTTACTGATGTGTGCCTTTCACATTTAAGGTTTTCTTAAAGGACAATAAGCCATGGCAGCAAGAAGTGCAGAAGGCTGGATCCAGGCAGGGGGGAGATCTTCTGCAAGGAGACATCAAAAGAATTTTAATCCCCTTCGACAAGAAAACTCAATTCCCCAGCACACCTGCCACATGAAAACAAATGCCAGTCCTATGGGTAGGAGCTTGGCTCCAAATGGCTGGGGGGCATTTGTTAAATTCTACAAGGTTCCCCCTCATGCCACTGCCAGCTGCACCAAGCCCACTGTGAGTCTCTGCACAGCAGGCACTATCTCAGACAAGAACATCTGCTCCATGGGCTGGTGCTAGAATGAGTGTCTCCTGTTTGAATCTGCCTAGGGAATGTCCCTAGAAATCATTACTGTGGTTCAGAATACATATGGCTTAACTTCTACATTGCAATCAACCATTAAACAGTACTTAGCTTGGGACAGCCCAGCACTGAGTCTGAAGTATCTGCTGCCTTAGGCAGCTGAAAAACATGTCCTTTGCTTAACAACTACTTGAAAGTTTGATGCCTCTTACTCGAGGCCTCCAGTGTCTGCCTGTTACATTGGGGATTTCAATGAAAGACTGGCAATTATACAACTGAAAGCAGAATACAGTCCTAAGTTTTTAATGCCAGGCTGCCTGTGGAACCAGAGAAATTAACAGCATCAATGAGCGGTGAGCACATTAGGGCTAGTAATAGTTGCCTTTGACCCTGCTTTTCTTTAGACCAAGGCCAGTGTATGTCTACACTGCAGTCACTACTGCCATTATATGCTGTATGGACATACCCAGCCTAGTGAGCTCAAGCACTGCTGTCAGTGTAACTGAAGTAGTGCAGAGCTGAGAGCAGTCTGCAAAGCCCATCCAAGAAGCTGGGTAATATTTGGGTTAGCCCACAGTGTCATAGCCATGCTACTATGCTACCCAAGCTGAAAGGTTTAAAGCTGTACCTACATGAGCTGCAGTCTCAGCAGTGACTGCAAATTGTCTTTAGATCAGGACAGTGGGGTACCTTTTATTTATAGATCAATGCTCTTTACAAAGGCAACTAAAATCAATGGTGAATGTCCCAGTAACTAAGAGCCTTGTTACACCTTACACTGTGAGCCACAGAGATGTTGATCACTGTTAGTGCCTGCTCATGTTTTGAGCATTCACAAGCTGAGACCAGAAAGAGCCGGGAGGACTGAAAAGTAAGAATCCCTCCCCAACCCATTCTGGGCTTCCCTCCTGCCCCCCCAAGGCTTCCCCAGTTCCCCCCTGCCCCTGTGGCCCTGCTCTGTTCTTCAGGGTTCCCCTCCCAACCCCTTGGGCTCCCCCACAGACCCCTTTACTTGTAGTTGCTTGTGCTGTTTGTCCCAGGGGAGCAGTCAGGGAAGAGTTAACCTTCCTGCCTGGCCCCCACCACCACTGCCTGCCTCAATCCAGGCCAACAGAGGAGGGAGGGCAGGTGGGATGTGTGCAAGAGTGGCTACACCCTAGTGGAACACGAGCTGGGTAACATGGATCAGAGATAATCCTGCCCTGGTGTGGCATAACTTTGAACCACACAAGAAGTGTTTAAAACTAGTTTCAGGTGTTAATGTGCAGACAATCCAAGGATTAAGAGCTCCAAGAGCCACACAAAATTACTGTGTAGCCAGGCCCTTAGTGAACTTTGCGTCCAGCCCTTAAAGACGTCAATATTATTGTTAGTTGTTATAAATTCCTCTAACCCCTCAAACTGCATGATCTTATTTAGGTTCTGAAAGGAGGTGCTTGCCCCCCAGAGGCTCAGAAACCCACTGCAGGTGATCATCAGATAATAGTCTGCAAGGCTTGGGGCCAGCTCAAAGGGATGGCCAACTAATAAGGATGGTGCCATAAAGATTGTTAAGGACACTAGGAGGTATGGGCTGGAGAGAAGCCCAGAGCTAAAATTGCCTCTTCTCCTGATACCCAGAAAGTACAGAGGGTTTGGTTTTGTTTCAGAGTCAAGGTTGTTTTTGTTGGCTCTGGATTTAGATGCCTTATTTGGGGCAGAGGGTACCCACTCTCAGACTGACCACGATCTTTCCATTCGATAAAAGGAAAATTTACTGATACACAGTGATAACAGACAAAAAACAATACAAACAATCAAGAAATTCTATATATCTACCAAATCCTAGGGCTGTCATCAGAGTCAAAGTACATCTGGCCAGGATGTAGTCTTCATTATGAAGCTCTCTCTTAGGTGTTAGATGTCAGTGTGTCAGCAGCCTGGAGGTGGGATGCCAAGGACCACACCCCACCCCATCCCCCGCCAGTGGAGTGGATAAGACAGGCTGGTGGTGTGCCTTCTGTCCATGGTGGCCTCGGAGACCCCTCCCAGGGGACGGGGACCCCTCTCAGGGACCCTCTCAGGGAGGAGGACAGGGAGAAGGACCCAGGCCCTTAGTTGTGGATCAAGAGTCATCAGGAATCATCAGAAGGAAAGAATACAAAAGCAGAGACTTGAGAGTAACAATCGCTGATAGGTCTCTCTTCAATCATCGCATTGTCCATGTCCTGTGTTGTCAGCCAAAATCCCATTTTCATAAACCTATCACATACCCACATCCTAATTTGGGGCTTTACCAGTGTCCTCCTAATATGGTCTGTTCTCCCAAAACTGGAAAACTCTGACCCTCCACTCTGGGGCCTTGTGAGCTGGTGCCACCTTATCTCATGTTATGGAACAGTGTCGTACATGCACCCACTTTCCCAGGCTGTGTGTGTATCCACTGGCATTGTTGTGTTATACACAGTTTTCTGAGCCTTCAGAAGCAGGTTGTCTAAGACCCAGGCTTTTAAAAATCAGTTAACCCCTGCTGCCCATCCTGAACTATTCTGAAGATAGTTCACTACACACACCACTATAAACCAATTTCCAAAAACAAACCTTTAAATATTGTTTTCAAGCCATCAGTTTTGTGAAGCATAAAATGGGCCTGAGAGATCGAGAATAAGAGTTGACAGTTTAAGGCAGCAGGATAAGGGACCAGGCTCACATAGACATACTCACTCACCAGCATAGACATACTCACTCACATCAATCCTGATTTGGCCCATCATCTCTAGCAAAAAGTTTATCATTGTTATTTCTTAATAGAATCTCTGATGTTCAGATCCATTGCTACTCTCTTAGGCTTCATTGTCAAAAAGGTCTAAGGGGGTTAGATTTTCAATCCCACTTCTAACATAGTTACCACATGTAGCCAAAGCTCTCAAAGCATTTCACCATTCTTAAACTACATGGCACAATTCTGTAAGTATTCCCCAGGATAAAAAGCACTCACTGGCCTTAAGAATAAGGATACAACATGTTAAAAGAGTAGCACATAGTTTCCCATCTCTCTTTCTGTACTTCATTCTAGTCTAGATGTATGGCAGATTTCCCTAAGAAGTCTAACAGGTAATTGGTGGGATTGGGCAGGGACTCAAAGATCAAGAGATTGGCTTAAAATTACAGCATTTAAAAAAATAGATTAGGGGGCCATTTTCTTTACCCTTCAGGTTTGTGAAACTTCCTACTTCAACAAATAGGAGCTGAGATTCTCATGACTCCAGGGGGCAGGCCTTTAAATAAAACACCTGGTAGTAAGAGGCTTGCAATACTATTGTGATGATTAGTAATGCTAATGTCTTTAAGTAAGTCTGTACTTCTGCTTCCTTTGTCACTTTGACTATCCTCTCTTATCAGGGTCTTTTTCTTGGTAAGAATTCTCCCTGATACAGCAGGAGCCTCATTTTGGGTGGGCCAACTGTAATACAAGTAATATTCTTGCCCTTCAGTCCTCTTTTTCATATTATTACTCTTTCTTGCTTACTTAAAGGCAAAAGGTCACAAATAGAATTGTACAGCCAGTCGCTGACACATCCCTTCACTGAATTGTTCTGTTCTGTTAATGTTCTGCACTACCCAGCCATGACTATCGTTGCAGCTACAAGGAACAAGAAAAAAAACAACTCTTCCAAAGTCAATAGAACATACTGGCTGTTCGCTTGCAAACAGGTTATTTTCTTTAATTTTTTTTTCTGCCACAGGTAATGGGCTAAGGGCTATATTTCAAACCATATCTAATTTGAAACACAGAGATGAAGGGTCACGAGATGAAAGGAAAGCATTAATCTCTCTCACTCCTGCAGCTCCACAATAAATTTCATCCCTGAATTGCTTTTGCTGTTGGCCTGAGGTCGGCATTTTCTGTGAGACATGTTAAAAAAAAAAGGTGTATGGCAATGTAGCATTACACAGGAGTAGCACTGACAGGCTGATTCTGTGTGCTTTTATGATAGGGGATGCACATCAGCTCTGCACAATACCACCAAGCAGCTCAGCAAAGCTACTACTATCTTGGTAATAGCTTTGCAATTCATAGCCCTCACCCAAAGTTCAGTAGTCAGTGGGTATCTTCCCATTAATTTAAACATGACTTGGATCAAGGCCTAGACCAGAAGTCAAAAATTCCAGAGGGTCAAATTATAGCCTATCTTCAACAGGGGGCATCTCCTTCATCCATTTTGCCAATTCCTCATGCCACAGAGAGGAAAATGGCACTATGGAGCTGCTATAGGCAGTCATTTTAGAAGAGGCCAAAGCAGGCAGACACTGGGTTCCTCTCAGGGACCCATTGTGCTAAGTGCAATATACACATGTGTTTAGAGTGCCCTTTCCCTAAAAAGTCTAACCCTGAACTAGACAGGACAGAAGAATGGTGGGAGAGAAAAACTGAAACCGAGAAGGATCATGATGAAAAATGAAGAGTTGATTAAGTGCTACTGAGCCAGACTGGATGGGAGCCCCTGATTTGGCAGTAGAAGGCTCAGGATGCCAAGCTCAGTCTCACTATGAGATTTAAGATTTCTTTTTTCTGATGGGAGACAATGGCCCAGTCTGTAAGGATGCAGTGTCCACACATGATGGATGTTAATGATGCTGGAATGACAGGGTCAGCACACTCAAAGCTGCATGTCCAATCTTCCCCTGTTCACAGGCTTAATGGAGCATTTCATTCTATTATTGTATTTTTTTTAATTTTATAAGACATGTTTCATTAAATTTGAATT